CCTCATGCAGGCCTGCTTTCACATCACGGCCTGACTGACGGAATACTGTGTGAGGAGTTTCACCTGACTCCGCCTGGCCCTGGGGTGCCCGCACCCCCCCTTCCTGTGTCAGCGCACCCCCCCTTCCTGTGTCAGCGCACCCCCCCTCTGTGCTGTCTGCCACACCATGCAGTTCTGTGTTTGCTCCTTATTTGCTGACAGTATTTGCTTTTCTCGGTGCAGCACTTAAATATTTTTAAATATTTTTTTTTCTCTGCATCTTCATCTTCACAGTGATGACTGGCCACACAGAGGCCACTGCAGGCCGCAGATGACATTCGGGGACAGGGGAGCCGCACTTGGAGACCCGCCCCACTGCCTGTCTAGTTGCAAGCAGGCCTCTGGGATCTTTACTCTCCCAGACCTGCAGCCGGACTGCTGGAGTCACGGCTTGTGCTCTGGGAATCCAAAAATAGCCACCGTCTCCAAAGTAGCTTCAGTCAGCCCTCACGGCCGACGCTGCCCTCCCTCGCAGACTCGCGGTGTCGGCTGCCCCCCTGGATGTTTGGCCCTCCGGGGCCCTCGTGTATGTCGGGTCTGGCCCTCCGGAGCCCTCGTGTATGTCGGGTCTGGCCCTCCGGGGCCCTCGTGTATGTCGGGTCTGGTCCTCCGGAGCCCTCGTGCATGTCGGGTCTGGTCCTCCGGAGCCCTCGTGTATGTCGGGTTTGGTCCTCCGGAGCCCTCGTATATTTACTTTGTCGCTTTCTTCCCGCCTCCCAGCGCTTCAGCTTCGTGTCCCTGCCCACAGACGTGTTGGAGATCGAGGTGAAGGACAAGTTCGCCAAGAGCCGGCCCATCATCAAGCGCTTCCTGGGCAGGCTGTCCATGCCGGTGCAGAGGCTGCTGGAGAAGCACGCCATCGGGTGCGAGTGGGCGGGGCTGGGGGCGGGGGCGGGGGGCGGGGCCTGGGGCCAGGAGAGCCGCTCTCCGCCCTATGAAACACCATCCGTCCAACCAGATTTGTCCCAAACCTCCTTTATTTCAATGAGCTTTTAAGTCTGAATATGAGATTCTCCCTGTTTTGTAAATGCAGGGATACCAGCTATCATGCATCTGGTGTGACACTCAGGGTGTGACCATCTGTCACTGAAATATTATCATGTTATTATCTTAGTCCATGTTCCTCCTCACTGCTGCGAGCACCAAGCCATTCATTTGACATGAAGCATACACCCCTCTCCCCCCACACAGAGACCGCGTCGTCAGCTACACCCTGGGCCGCAGGATGCCGACGGAGCACGTCAGCGGCCAGCTGCAGTTCCGCTTTGAGATCACGTCCTCCATCCATCCAGGTGGCACCGCTCACTGCGTCCCTGTCAGCATCAGCTAGCCTCCGTGTGCCCAATAGCATCAGCTAACTGCTGGGACCCTCTTTAGCACCAGCTAGCCACTGCATCCCCATGCATTAGCTAGCCGCCTGGGCCATAGTCAGCATGGGCTAGGCACCCCATCCCCATTAGCGCCAGGGTCCTAGTTAGCATTAGCTGGCCACCTTGTTCCCATTAAAGGCAGCTAGCCACCAGGGCCCTTGTTAGCGTTAGCTAGCCACCAGGGCCCTCGTTAGCGTTAGCTTGTCACCAAGGCCCTAGTTAGAATCACCTAGCCGCCCCATTCCCAATAGTGCCAGGACCCTCGTTAGCATCAGTTAGCTGATGTGTCCCCATTAGTAGCTTCTAGTAGTGCCAGCTAGCCACCGTGGCCGTCCTCAGTGCCAGCTAGCCACCATGGCGGTCCTCAGTGCCAGCTAGCCATTGCATCCTTGTTAGCACCAGTTAGCCATCCCATCACTGTTGGTGCCAGCTGACCATTGTGTCCCCTGGTAGCACCAGTTAGCTGCCCAGAGACCTCGTTAGTGTTAGCTAGCTGCCATATCCCTATTAGCGTTAGTGCCAGCTAGCTTCTGCATCCTCGTTAGCATTAGCATTAGCTAGCTAAACACTTTACACCTGACCTTAAGAACAAACTTAAGCTTAGCTGGTTCAACCCACTGCTGATGTGCATAAATGCAGGTATACGTGGCAGCGGCATGTGCCAACTGTCGGATCTGCAGAGCATGACTCACTGTTGTGGTGCCCCCCACCCCCAACAGATGATGAGGACACATCCCTGAGTATGGAAGCAGACTGCGCACCCTCCACTGCGGCAGCTGGACAGCAGGGGGCAGCAGCGATGCAGCTGGTCCAGGAACCTCAGGACCAGGATACCGTGAGCTTGGGGCCCGAGGCCCCAGAGCTGCCTGCAGACGGGACCCCTGTAGGGGGCGAGGCTGTCAACTTGGCGACCGGTGCCCCCCCCGAAGTACAAACTTCTGGTGATCACCCGGAGCCCGGGGAGGCACCAGGGAGGGTGGCTGATGGGGTTGGTGCCCCCCCCACAGAGGACCCACCTGAGAGCAGTGAGGCAAACAGCCAAGTCCCTGCTGATCATCTGGGGGCCGCTTCTAAAGAGGAAGGGGCCAGGGGACCTGCTGACATCCCCCCAGACAGTTCCCGGGACATGGCGGACGGGGAAATGGTGGCAGAACTCCCCCCGCAGGCTGAGGAGGGGGACGGGGAGGGAGCTGGCGCCCTGCCCTGCATGAGGAGCGCCCCCCGGCGCAGGGGCAGACCGTGTTCGCTGCCGGTGTCCGAGCTGGAGACAGTGATCGCGTCAGCCTGCAGCGAGCCGGAGACGCCCAGGAGCCACTACATCCGCATCCACCACCTCCTGCACAGCCTGCCCTCTGCCCAGAGTGACGACAAGGCCTCCCCCGAGCCGGGCATCCCAGAGCCCCCGCTGGGGGAGGGGGCGTGGCCCGGGGATGGGGCTGGGCCTGAGGATGGGGGGGGGGCTGGGGAGGAGGCAGGAGCAGAGGACGGGGCAGAGCCAGAGTATGGGGCAGAGCCAGAGGATAGTGCGCCCGATTCGGAGCCCCAGGAGGCGGCTCTGGACGGTGCAGAGGCCATGGACGACTCGGAGGCCACTGACACCCTGCAGCCCTGCCCCAGGAGGACGCTGCCCCGCAGCCTGTCCATCGAGCACCTCTCCGACCTGAACCAGCTGCTGGAGAGAGCGGGGCCGTGCCATGGCAGCGAGGGCGGGGCGGGAGGCCCCAGGGGCCTGGGGGATGAGTGCGACCTGTGTGACGCCTCCTGCTATAGCACCTCCTGTTACAGCACCTCCTGCTACAGCACCTCCTGCTACAGCAACTCGGGCTACGAGGGCCGGAGGCAGCTCTGCAGCCACACGCGCTTCTCTTCAGTGGACAGCGCCCACCTGTCGGGCAGCACCGTCTTCTCCTCGCAGGAGGAGGAAGAGGAGGAGGAGGAAGAGGAGGAGAACAGTGCCTTCGAGTCAGCAGCAGACTCCACTCTAAGTCCCGTGACACGGGAGTCCGACGACGGCCCGGCGCAGTGGCAGGGGGAGGGCTCGCAGAGCACCAGCGGGAGCAGGGTGTTGCCGGAGGCGGGGCCCAGTGGGCGGGGCCGAGGTGAGCGGTCACATGACTACCGCGTCCTGGTACTACTGCCACCCGTCCCTGAAGAAGAGCACCCAGCATTTCCATTTACAAACACTTTGTTTCATTTATTTTATTTTTTTCTACTTGAATGTGTCCAGTATCCAGGACACGCCGTTTTCTTCCATCTCTCTCTTTATTCATCTTTTCCCAGTAGTAACTGTGCAGTTGTTAGCTTTATTTTTTCATGTAAATGTGTTACTTTTTTAGATGTTTGTGATTCCACCCTGACCTCTCACCGGTATGGTGGGTCACCGTGTAAAGATAGAGTAGCCATTTATACTTTTTATCATTACCTTGCATCACGTGTTACTTTTGTCTGAAGGATACTCTCTATATACTACAGAGCAGCCCTGAGTCCTGTGCTGATCTGCAGCCGGTAGTCATTTTCCCCTAAACGTATAAATATGTGTTTATTTATTCTTTGATTTTGTGAACCGATTTAAGGGAACAAATTAGGTTTTGATGCCTTATGTTTTCCAGAAATAAATGATTTTTGCAGAAATAGCATTTTTGATATAATTTTTCAAGTAACCTACATATGCTTACCTAAATGCTTGAACTGACCCATAAATCCCTTTGGAAGAAAAAGTTTTTGTGAATTAGATGTCAGTGTAAATTATGTCGAAATCAGCTGTAAAATGAAGTACAACTGATTCCTAACGATTAAATAATGAAACGGCCAATTTCTTTGCTGTCCACAGCTAATGACAGAGAGCTGATTGATTGCTTTGTTCCATTCACACCTTTTAATGGATTTGAGCCAGTGCTTGACACCACCATAACTATTTTTGCCCCGTGTGTATCTTTGTACTGTTGTTTTTGTCATTCTGCGGTTGAGGTTTTCAGTATCCAGCCATAGCTCCTCTTCAAGGATCCAGTGTGAGCCATAGCTCCTCTTCAAGGATCCAGTGTGAGCCATAGCTCCTCTTCAAGGATCCAGTGTGAGCCATAGCTCTTCTTTGAGGATCCAGTGTGAGCCATAGCTCCTTCTCAAGGATCCACTGTGAGCCCTAGCTCCTATTTGATGACCCAGTGTGAGCCATAGCTCCTTTTTGAGGATCCAATGTAAGCCATAGCTCCTCTTTGAGGATACAATGTAAGCCATAGCTCCTCTTTGATGATCCAGTGTGAGCCCTAGTTCCTCTTTGAGGATCCAGTGTAAGCCATAGCTCTTCTTTGAGGATCCAGTGTGAGCCCTAGTTCCTGTTTGAGGATCCAGTGTGAGCCCTAGCTCCTTTTTCAGGATCCAGTGTGAGCCCTAGCTCCTTTTTGAAGTGCATAGGTCCACCTGTAGACTCTTAAGCCTGTCATTTGAGTGACACCATTTCTGCAGGAACAGGAGCCCCCCTTATTTTGCTGGTTGTGGGCGGGGGGGGCGGCTGCTTTACTCTCTTCTTGCTGACGCCTGTGAGTCCCAGCAGGAGGCGATGTTGTCAGACTTCAGTCGCGTCACTTGCGTTTAGTTGCTTTCAGGGCGGAAGAGAGGCTGGACCCCTGGACCTTATGTCAGCTTATTACATTTGCATGAATCCTTCCGATTTCTCATTTCCCTTCAGTCTGACGTTTGATCTTTTTTCGTTCATAGGCGATTCGCCATGCAGTCACCCGCCAGTCCGCCAGCTCCCAGCTTTGCGACCCGACCCCCATCATTACCCGACTATAGACGAGCCATTGCCACCAAGTAAGCTCTCCTGTAGCTCCTGCTGGCCCCCGGGGGCCTTGCTCCTCTCCTTGCTGTCATTGGTCAGGGGGCATCTTTGATGGAATGCCAGTCCATCACAGGGCACAGGGCAGGGGGCACCCTGGGCGGGATGCCAGTCCATCACAGGGCACAGGGCAAGGTAGCCATTAAGAGGAGAGTGTGCTGCCACCCAGCCATGGCAGTGATTGAGAGAAAGAGAGAAGGTGAGAGAGAGGGAGAGACAGAGGGAGATGAAGAGGGAGACAGTGGGAGAGACAGAGAGAGAGAGGGAGATAGAGAGAGGGAGATAGGTAACGCGAGATCAGGGTGAGCGAGATGGAGATAAGGTGAGCGTGAGAGAGACAGGGAGAGAGAGAGGGAGACCTCTCACATCAGGCTGTGCTTCACTATGCTATGTTCCTCACAAAAGAACGAATAACCAGAGCATCATGCCTTGTTTGCCCCCCCAGACTGGGAGGCGCGCATCGACAGCCACGGCCGCGTGTTTTACGTGGACCATGTGAACCGCACCACCACCTGGCAGAGGCCCACGGCGGCCGCCACGGCCGAGGGTCTGCACCGCTCCGGCTCCATGCAGCAGATGGAGCAGCTGAACCGCAGGTGAGGCCCGGCAGGGTGTGGGTGCACGCCCCCCTCCCCAGGCTGCTGGGGGGATTGGTGCTCATGGACACAGGCGTCATGTTTTACTGACACAGGTTCAGATCCTTGAGAAATAAGTACCCCAATAAAAATGTGTCATGTTTTATAAACAGGTTATTCCTGATTCCCACTCTGGTCCTTTAACATTGCTCAGCTTAAATGCATATCGGCTACAATACACTGTGTTATCAGCGTCAGCCTGTTAAGTTGTGGTAGTTCCCTGTCAGGGAGTCCAGATGTCTGATGAGAAATAGCGCTCTGTTATAGCACCATGTGAAATCTTCACCTGGCATCCAGAGTCACCCCAAGAATCGCACTGCACATCTATTTTGAACAGCACGTGCTATAAGCCCACAACTTTGACACTTTGCTGCCACCTAGAGGTTGAGATTTGCACTGCGCCTGTTCTTTTACTCAGGATACGTCTTACAGTTATTCAGCGGGAAAACTGAGAAAGGTGTTTGGTAAAATGTTACATATGGCTTTGCTTGTTTTCCACCAAGGTACCAGAACATCCAGAGGACCATCGCCACGGACAGGACTGAGGAGGAGGCAGGAAGCCGGCGGGGAGAGCGTGCAGGCCTCGAGACTGAAGGCTCAGCGCCGAGCGGCGGTAATGTAGCGCCGCCATGAGGCCGGCGGGGAGAGCGTGCAGGCCTCGAGACTGAAGGCTCAGCGCCGAGCGGTGCTAATGTAGCGCCGCCATGTGGCCGGCGGGGAGAGAGGGCAGGCCTCGAGACTGACGGTTTAGCGCTGAGCGGTGCTAATGTAGCGCCGCCATGTGGCCGGCGGGGAGAGAGGGCAGGCCTCGAGACTGACGGTTTAGCGGTGAGGGGCGGTAATGTAGCGCCGCCATGAGGCCGGCAGGTACACGCTTGACCCATGTGGCAGCACACACTCAGAGAAACACTGCATACATATCTGCATGTACTGTATCAGAACGAAATGCCGGTGCCCTTACACCCAGCTTTCATACTTTATAATCATTATATGTTCAGAATCCCATCCCTTCTTCCAGCTGTGTCCCCACAACCTCTCCTGGCTATGGCCCCACCCCCATCTCCCGGCTCTGTCCCCACCCCTTACCCAGCTGTGTCTTGTCCCTTTGTCTTTCAGAGTTGAGAAGAGACAGTCCTTCGTCCCCCATTAACAGCCAGAAGATCACAATGCTGCTGCAGTGTCCTGCCGTCAAGTTCATCAGCCACCCGGAGTTCTTCACTGTCCTCCACGCCAACTATGTGAGGATTCAGCCCTCCACCCCTCCCCCCCCCGACATAACTCCCCCCCAC